GGATGAAGACAAATATAATAGCAGATTAGAGAACGTGATTAACACAAACAACAACGTTTGTTACGTTCGATGGCAAAAAATACAAAAGGAAGGAAGGAAATGAATATGAAGGAGAATGAAAATGCCAATCGAGACGTCTTGTTGGCCGTCAGGAAATCCCTTTCCTCTTATTTATAAAATAATTGTCACATTCAGACTAACTCGATTCGCTTGAACCGACTTGGGGTCACATTGGCGTCAAACGGCCGAACGGTCGGAACAACAGCGGCAGGTGAAAGGGCCGACTCATCAGTGGGAGTTGCTCCACCAGGAGGTGTGCAAGACGGACTTGACACCGTTGATGAGGGCGAATGCGACAGCGAAACTCGTCGCACCCGTCGTGTCAGCGTTTGGAGATCTTCCAACCACTGAACCAACAAGCATCTCCTCAGCTGGAGTGGATGGATCCGGAGGCAGACTGAAATAAACGAAATTATAACAATTGATCGGTACCTGTAATAAATAAACGAATAAAGTTTTGCCGTTGACCAATGCCTTATTGAGATGTGGCACGCATTCTACTACCAGACAGAATCGTGGCTTACTGAATGCGATGTGGCCTATAGAATGACTTGCGGGGGTCAGCCGATACAAGTCAGTGCTTTTATCCTCCCAGACGAAGTCCGGCACCGATCCACCGCCCTCTGAGGGTATAAGGCTTGGTAGGATGGGCGAAAGCCGATCGGAGTTCGAATCCCGGAGCGCGTGCGTGGTAAGGGTGTCATTAGCTGCCACCCACCACTTCAGCTTTTCCTAGGCCATAGGCAACCCCTTCCACCTCTAATCGCTCCCACCGTTTCCGATTCTCCGATTCTAGGGAATCGCGCCTCAAATGCATCTGGAGTATTTGTAAACCAACTCTACATAGATGCATTTGGAAGGTGATTTCCTAGAAGCCTTGCAGTTTAGTAGAAAAAACCCTAACCCGAATACTCAACGACACTAGCGTAATTTTGTAAGGCGTTTCGATGCACATCACCTTAAAGATCTATAACCCACGCCAACCATTTTTATGAACGGTACAGAACACTATTTTGTTTAGAAAGAGCTCTGGAATGGTTGCAATCAGAGTATGTTGTACCCTGGAGGATCACCAGCGTAGAACGTATTTGGTTGCTGGATAGAGGGAGTTGCATTTTCGAAAGCTGTTTTCTCCCGTTTCACGCGCGTTGTCTACATCGTTTGGGAACACCCCAAGGGGGTGGGGAGGGGGAGTGGTGGGCGTATCTGCTCGTCGCTTTGAGAGGGGAAAATGGGGTCGTAAGTGTAGACAGAAATAAGTGTATAAATTAATGTTAGAAACCTGTTAGATGTTTAGTGAGCCGTTTCCCATACATATCTCCTGAACAATTTATGCTCTCACCTCACCCCCCCCCCACACACCCTTAAGGGTTAAGCAAAAATTTCCCATTCCCTTGGCTAACCGACGCACCTTGCGGCATTGAGAACGGCATAAAACAAGGAAAAACACCGAAACATGGAGCGAAAATGAAGTTCACTGCTTTAAAACCGCTCTTGCAGGAAATGCCAACGAACTGTTGCACAACATTTCCCACTATACGTAAAAGGCCCTCAGTCATAATAAGGGACAAAAAAAATCTGTGAGCGTCGGAAGTCATCCAAGAAATCATGAAGGAATTCCCATTCAATCATCTGGGAAACAGGTTTCGGTGGTGCATTGCATTTGTAACGATTATCAATTACTCAGCGTTTGTAATTCGCTAGACTTGGCGAGAGCATTTTTCGTTTTTGATCGCATTCGCATTTTTTTTCTTACGGAGCGCTGACTTGCTCAATCAGTCAGGCATCCGGTACACAAAAAAATTCCCAACGTCCCAGAGAGCTGAAAAAATCTACTCAAAGAACAAAAAGTGCCGTTCAAAGTTCGGTAGAGTTGTACAGGAAACGGCACATTAATCATAGTTTTTCCTTCTTTTACACTACAGACTTGGCAATGTACAGTACTCCTTCCTCACAGAAATTTTATGATTCAGCAAGAAATCTGTCTGAAGTTGTGAGAGGAAGAAGTGAGATACTTCAACAAAAATGAATAGACATTAGGTGGGTTCAACAAGAAGGAACAGGAAGAAGAACTAGACTTCTCGAAAGAGGTTAGGCTCGGAACCGAAAAATGTTCAATTTGAGCGCAAGTTCGCCAGCGGTGGGCATTCAAAGGAATTCCCCGAACAAAACATGAAGAACTGTGGCGAAGGTGAAGATTTTTAGTAAGGCCAGGGAAGAAGCTGCGCGACGTAACGGAACGTGCAAAAGACGACGGATTGTATTTGATTTAAGCCCTCTCCTACTATGCGGCAGAACATTTGAGAAGATCTGGTAAGACTGTAGATAGGCTACTACAAACGGAGAAAGTTTGGGGAGGGGGGGGGGTGGGATCGTATAGAAGCGGAATTACGGGGAAGGCTTTGCCAACTCAATCATATACCCTGCCGGATGAGTGAACCAACTTATTTGTGCGGAACAAGTACCTAACGTTACAGTAATCTCATTTGCATTCCTTCAATTGTACCCCCTCCACCACCTTCGCCCCCCCCCCCTGACGTAGATTTCACTGTCTCAGAGCACTTGTCAACCGAGAAGCATCTCTTCTCTTTCCTTTTTCTTCCTCCTTCTTTCTATTCCTTCTTCTCTTCTTTGATCCCCCTTCTTTACCTTCTGTCTTTACTACTGGACCGGTAGATGCCTCGAGAAAATACAGCTGGACCCTCGCAGCGAGACTCTGCGACTCGTTCCATACAAAGGTTTCTTCAATGTTCTGCTGTCTTGAGAGTGTTATACTCATGTTCACCACCCTTACTCGTCCCTGCCCTCTGTTACGACTCCACTGTTGGATTACGCTTCCAAAGGATTCTACAACTACAAAACACCAACCGCAATCCCTTCACTCACCTGTCCTGAATTTCGCTGGCCATTCGTTTCAGCTCATGCGTTATGCTCACGAGTTCGCCAGGTGGGTTCGAATGTGCGATAATCTGATCGACCAACACTCCGCTCGCGACCATTTTGAGCACATCCAGCGAGTAACGCTCGGCCAACAACAGCATTTTCTTTGTGAAATCGGAATCTGCCGTTTCCTAAACAAAAAATTCAGTGCATTGCCTGTACCTGAATATGTCGACAACAAGCATAAATTCAGATTTAGCGGGTGCAAAATTTGAATCGAGTAGAATCCAGCTTGAAAAGAAAAGGCCTCTCTCTTAACGTTAATCCAAACTTATTTCAAAATATTCAGACGTAACAAAGCATTATTTATTCAACAATCTTACGCCCATTGCTTAGATGAGAAGTTCCCTTAAAAAAAGGAACTAGAATATGCCAGCGCGATAAAGAACATGTTGACAAGAGACGAGCAGTTAAATGTACAACCAGTGTGATCTCCTCATTCGTGCGCCCCTCCTTCACGCGTCGGTAAGGCCAGAAGGCACGCGCTGAGGACGAAGCAGGCCACAGCCCATCGTTGTGTGAAACACATAGGGGGGGGTCGTTACTTTTCCCGCTGGCGGCAGGGGGTCGTATTTGGGTTTATATTTTGATAGGTTGATTTTCTTGTGGAAAAAGGGGGGTCGTATTAATTCGTATTAATTTTTTGTGTTATATGCACCCTGTACACCCGCCGGATATACGTTGCATAGTTATTGTATACAGACTTATTACTGATCGCTCGCTCAAGTCGGCGAAAGAGCTGGTCGCAGCTGAGGGGGGGGGGGTCGTACACCGGGGAAAAAAGAGCGGCGGGGCGCGGTCGTGGCCGCGACCCATTCGGGAGGGGGGGCGTCGTAACTCACACCGACATTCGCCCTAATCCCTATGCCTGTACCTGAGGAGAGAGGCACAGTAGTTATGGGTCTCCGCCCAATCAAACGCGAACTGCATATGTCTAGAGACATAGTTCGCGATTGTTGATAGCTTCTCGGAGAAATGGATACGGTCCGAATCCTTTACTGACAATACAACATTCAGGCGTTTAAGGCAAATGGCGACGTCAAGTCTTCACCAACTTCCTAACGCCACCCCTACATGTTTTCTGAATGCTTTCTGTTGCGGGATTGTTCCTTTGCAAGCTCTTTCTATTCCGAATGGTGAATTGGTAACGGAAAAAGGCTGACATCATTGTGATTTCAACAAATGAGGACTTGTACAACCGCGCCCTTTCCTTCAATTGGGCTTGACTTTAAAAAGCCGCACCCGCACGGGATCCTATCTCGAGCACTTCCGACGTTTTTTTTCTTGAGGTTTTCTCATCACTATTGAGTTCCAACATCGTCGTCCGCATTTTCGTCTCACTACCCGCAAGTTTTGATCTCAGGTGTGCCTTTAAGTTCTCCACCCACGAATGACGTCAAGCCGACTTCTTTGAACAAATGAACTGAACCCTTCTTCAGGACGTTATATAATGTGACTCGCCCACTAGTCGGAAGCTTTATCTGAATTTCTGGTTTCATTATTGGTGTTCTCCTTTGCCACCTCGAGAATTACATTGTTACGCCACGAAGTTCCTGTTGCCAACTCAAAACTCATTCGATGACATGACAAGTCAGAGGTTGAGCACTACCTTGTGAACCCCAGCGTGATAACAAATTACACTAAGTTATACCATTTTTAGTATACCTGTGTAATATGCCATCAGACATCAGGTGTTCATTCCTTGGTCACACTACGTTGAGCGTTTCTGTTCACCTTGCTCTAATTTGTTTTCAAAAAATATCTTTGGCGACCTTGACCACAACATGTCACATTTCAAGCTGTAAACACGCAACTGATGACCCGAAAAAATATAAATAGACCTAAAGTTTATCCTTTAAAATAAACATCCACTGTTCTTTTTAGCATAATCGATGAAAAAGGTCAACAAGAATGCGGTTTTGCACCACTGCGAGAAGCACGTGCTAACACGCTGACGTACTCTCTAACCCAAAAACCCGTCTGTTTTGGTCATTTTCTATTTATGATGATGAAGAAACTATCTTTTCCTCAACAGGTTCTTCTGCGGTTCCTGGTTTGTACTTCGTCTTGAAGGCCTAGAGAGACGCATAAATAAAGAAACCAATGCACTTTTGAAAGTGCGGGAAAAATTTAGTACCTGAAGTAGTCCCTCCAAGGCAACCTTCTACCAGTACGGCGCAGCTCATGGAAAAGCAGTACTCAAAAAAAGCGCTGCAAAAGGCAAATATCGCTCTAGCACCAATCCCTGGCCTTCAAACCTATACGTTCCATTTTTAGCCACCCACGGACCCGTCACACT